AGTTAACTTTAACTACTTTTTAACTGCAGTTAAGGCTAACTACACTTTTATACAACCGGCTTAACTACGTGATTAAAGTTAACCACTTTTTAACTACTTTTTAACTGCAGTTAGCGCTAACTACGTTTTTATACAACCGGCCCCTGGTACCGTGCAGCAGATGGTGATCAATCGGCATTTTCCAGAGTGAGAAAATAATGTTAAAGTGTATATGACATGAAATTTCTTATTTTCTTAAATGAAAGAACTCTTTAAGCTGTAGTGTAACATATTTTTCAGTCTCTTGTTTTTATGGTTTGTTCCCGAGATATTTCAATCTGTTTGATACGTCCGCTAATTTATGACGTCATGTTGGTTGCAAGCTCTTCAAAATGGTTGAATATCACTGCTATCATCCAAGATGATAATTTCAAACTTCACTCACTGGTAAATGTGAGGAAACACTGTAGAAAAACGTGAACAGATATCTACAGTTTTTAGATTTAATAGATTTATAACCAGTGTAATTTGAGCTTGCAACCAACATGACGTCATAAATTAGCGGACATATTCACACTCATTTACATATCAAACAAATTGAAGTATCTCGGGAACAACCCATAAAAACAAGAAACTGAAAAATAAGTTACACTACAGCTTAAAGAGTTCTTTCGTTTAAGAAAATAAGAAATTTCATGTCATATGCACTTTAATTCTTTTCATTATTTCTAGTAGAGATTTAGTTTAATTTTTCTTGCTCCGATACTGGTTTTTCCATAATGTTTCTGACGTTGCCATCATTATAGGTAACAGTCTTGTACTGGGTAATCTCCTGCGCAGCCTGGTCGCGGGAGCGAGGTGGAGAGAAAACCTCAAGTAGTTTAATCTTCAATATTTTCTTGCTCTTATAAATGTCAACATTTCTGACTAGTTGACCACCATCTGCTACCCCGTTCGCTTACTGAAACCAATGAATCAAAACTAAGCCTGACCTGCGACGATAATGGTATGCCAATACCGACATGCCAAGCTGATGACTGCATGAAGTGAGCCAAATATAGGCTTGGGTAATGACGTCACTGGTATATCATCCTTTGTCTTTTTTGTAATATAAGCTATAGGTATCCCTAGTGACCCATTATCACCTCGACCCCATGAATATACTCGATTTTCTGTAATGAAATGCAACAGAGATGTGGGTGTCCGTAACAGAGACGCATTAGAGAGGTTTCCGTGAATAGAAAATGTCAGTAATAGAGAGGTGTGCGTTTCAGGAGAGGTGTCCGTATTAGAGAAGTGTCCATATTAGAGAAGTGTCCATATTAGAGAAGTGTCCATATTAGAGAGGTGTCCGTATTACAGAAGTGTCAGTATTAGAGAGGTGTCCGTATTATAGAGGTGTACGTATTAGAGAGGTGTCAGTATTAGAGAGATGTCAGTATTAGAGAGATGTCCGTATTAGAGAGGTGTCCGTATTAGAGAGGTGTCAGTATTAGAGAGGTGTCCGTATTAGAGAGGTGTCCGCATTAGAGAGATGTCAGTATTAGAGAGATGTCCGTATTAGAGAGGTGTCAGCATTAGAGAGGTGTCAGTATTAGAGAAGTGTCCGTATTAGAGAGGTGTCCGTATTAGAGAAGTGTCCATATTAGAGAGGTGTCCGTATTAGAGAGGTGTCCGTATTAGAGAGGTGTCCGTATTAGAGAGGTGTCCGTATTAGAGAGGTGTCAGTATTAGAGAGGTGTCAGTATTAGAGAGGTGTCAGTATTAGAGAGGTGTCAGTATTAGAGAAGTGTCCATATTAGTGAAGTGTCCATATTAGAGAGGTGTCCGTATTAGAGAGGTGTCAGTATTAGAGAGGTGTCAGTATTAGAGAGGTGTCCGTATTAGAGAGGTGTCCGTATTAGAGAGGTGTCAGTATTAGAGAAGTGTCCGTATTAGAGAGGTGTCAGTATTAGAGAGGTGTCAGTATTAGAGAGATGTCCGTATTAGAGAGGTGTCAGTATAAGAGAAGTGTCCGTATTAGAGAGGTGTCAGTATTAGAGAATTGACCGTATTAGAGAGGTGTCCGTATTAGAGAGGTGTCAGTATTAGAGAGGTGTCAGTATTAGAGAGATGTCCGTATTAGAGAGGTGTCAGTATTAGAGAAGTGTCCGTATTAGAGAAGTGTCCGTATTAGAGAGGTGTCAGTATTAGAGAGGTGTCCGTATTAGAGAGGTGTCCGTATTAGAGAGGTGTCCGCATTAGAGAGATGTCCATATTAGAGAGGTGTCCGCATTAGAGAGGTGTCCGTATTAGAGAGGTGTCCATATTAGAGAGGTGTCCGTATTAGAGAAGTGTCCATATTAGAGAGGTGTCCGTATTAGAGAGGTGTCCATATTAGAGAGGTGTCCGTATTAGAGAGGTGTCCGTATTAGAGAGGTGTCCGTATTAGAGAGGTGTCAGTATTAGAGAAGTGTCCGTATTAGAGAGGTGTCCGCATTAGAGAGATGTCCATATTAGAAAGTTCTCTGTATTAGAGAGGTGTCCGTATTAGAGAGGTGTCCGTATTAGAGAGGTGTCCGTATTAGAGAGGTGTCCATATTAGAGAGGTGTCCGTATTAGAGAAGTGTCCATATTAGAGAGGTGTCCATATTAGAGAAGTGTCCATATTAGAGAAGTGTCAGTATTAGAGAAGTGTCCGTATTAGAGAAGTGTCCATATTAGAGAGGTGTCCGTATTAGAGAGGTGTCCGTATTAGAGAAGTGTCCGAGGTGCATGCATTACGCATAGGTATCCATAATAGAAAGGTGTCCGCATAGAGAGGTGTGACTGTCTAAATTGTTTTACTACGTTGATAGAGAGACGGACGGAGAGACGGACAGACAGGCAATCAAAGAAAATGGCAGAGAGATGGACAAAATGACAATCAAACAAAGTCCACTCACTTGCAGTACAAACAATAGTATATCCATCTCCACACGCCGCTTGTAAAACTTTATCACCAGATAAATTACTCCGAACACGGCATGGACCTTCATGGCGTTTGTAATCACCTTGACCTAACTGTCCATACGAGTTGTCTCCTACTGTAAGGAGATGACCATACACTATACAAAAATCAAACAATTCTTGCTCTCAATATCAGGTAAAGAAGATACAGACAAAGTGTTAACCTGTTAACATTTTTGGATGCTCGTTAAAGTGCTAACACCTATATGTAACTGATAATACCTATT